TTAAAACCCCCCGGGGAAGAGAGTCATAAATTTTAAAAAAAAAAAAAAAAAAAAAAAAAAAAAAAGGAGGAGAAAAGTGCTAAAGCAGCCCTTTGCCTCCCAACAAGCCAGAGATGGCTGCCCAATTAGTCCGGCGGCGTTCGGATCCTCCTTTCAGGCCCTGTGGCCCTTTGAGGACACAATAAGGCTCCAATGATAACCTGGCAACCTAGGTAGAAACTCAGCCAAGTGCGAGCGTTTGAAGCTGCAGCTTGGCTGCCATCGTGGCGGCGAAAAGAAAGAATTCAGGCACCATGTCATCCAGTACAAAGGATAAAAACAGATTCAACCGGAAATTCAATGTGGCACCACATATGGGATACATGAGTGCGGTTATACAACAGGCCACATATTTTTTTTTGAACAGTCTCCTGCATGTGATGCCGAGGACATGTGTAACCATCATAACGTCTCTAAGAATCTGTATTTAATTTGAGCTGGGGTGGTGGCAGGGATTGGAGATCTGAAGCCGCCACAGGTTTGTGGCAGATGGCTCTGTGTCAGCTATGACAAGCAGCCAGGCTCGGCTTCCTCTGCAGATTTTCTTTTCTCTCTGATCAGGTAAATATGGGCACACTCTGGAAACTTCCACAATTCCGCCTGAGGCTGCAAGTTTGTGACTTAGCCCCATCTGTCACAAATCTTCCCTCGGTTCTGCTGCGAGCAGGGACCTGAATTTGCCGCCGAGCGCTGCCCAAGAGAAGCCGTCCGTCTCGCCCTACGAAGAAGTAAGAGGAGAGAAGCGCGCGAAGCCGCCTGAGATGCCGGCACGCGCGAGGGACCTCGCTCGCGCGGGAAGGAGCGCAGCCAAAACACTCCGCGACGGCTTCAGGACGGAGAATGCTTCTGCAGCGTTATTTGGAAACGGGGTGAATTCGGCGTTTATTTATTTATTTATTTATTTATTAAGATAGGTAAGCCGGTTGGCAGCCCCAGGGTGTTTGCTCCTGGGTGAGCACCGTCAAAGGTCCGTCTGCTTTACAGGTGGTCTCGGTGGACACGCCAAGGACTGAACACCCATGGGGAACGACCTGCCCCGCTCACCCTCAGACACGGCGGAACCGAGAACCGGCAGGAGCGAGGGCGTAATTCTCCTGCTTGGCCATCATCGGGCTGGCTTCTGGGCCTTATTTTAGAATAACCTTGGAGAGAATAAATTAAACTCTTTTTTTTTGGGGGGTGATAACTCTGCGAAGCGCTGGGCATTCATTTTTTCAAGGAATTCAATCAACACTTCCTAAATACGCAGAGAGAAAATCATCAAGAGAAGCAAAGTTTTCACATAAAGCAAGATCTCCCCATGAAGAACAAGCACAATAATAAGGTGTCAGTACCAGTACAATATTCTTGACGATAAAATAAACTTTTTCTGTCTCTTGTGTTCTAAGATCGGAGCTGAAGTAATTAGTATCTACTCTGCCATCATTAGACTTCAGAGTTAACCTCTAGAGCCTAATGAGGACCGTTCATCCATTCAGACCTGTTCCGGGACAGCTGGAGTTCAAGCAGACACTACTAATTTGGCATACATTTTATGCACTTTTTAAAAAGTTACCTTAACAAAATGAAAAATTAGAGACTATTATTCAGCACAAAACCTGAGATTTGGCAGGCAAGACAGCAGAGTGATTTACAGGGCTAATTTGTATGGGGTCAGTTTTGGAACTCCACGCTCCTTTGGAAACCACCATCAGAAGACAGCACTGGTTTCCACGACGTGGGCACACTGCGAGGCCCTAGTCAGAGATATATAATGCTCCCCAGTAGAGTAACAGTATTTCCCTGAACAAACTGGTCCGGTTCTGCAGTTTCTTCTATCGGTCTGTTAAAACTCGTTTCATTCTTTCTGTCTTTAAACAAAAATGACTTTAAACAGCAAACGTTGGATGCGAATCTATGCAAGATACACTGGCGGGTACCTTGGATAGGATGGTCCAGAACACACTGACCAACTACATTAGGAAAACAGTTCCAGGTTTTCTTTCTCAAGGTAATTTGAACACACTTTTTTTTAAAAAAAAAAAAAGTTTTCACACTTTTTGCAACTTTTCTTTCCAAGTCCATCATATTTCCTTTGACCCATTTTTCCGTCTACCATTTTGCAGCAGCTGCGGTTCATCTGCCAGTTCTCATTTGCTTTCTGAAACTAAATCGGAAGCTGCCTAACATTGTTATAATAAAAAGTTCAAAGTCCTGGTGTTTATGCTGAAAGATGCGCACGTAACTGCTCTCTTAACGAACGCTCTCTTCCTGCTCTACAGGCACAGCCAACTGCTACGAGCTAGAGACCAACATCTTCAGAGAGGTGAAATCTCCTAGATATGTTCTCGAAAGGCTGAGGGACGTGGGGCGTTTTAGTCTGGAGAAAAGAGACTGAGGGGGGATCTTATCAATGCTTATAAACACTTCAAGGGAGGGTGCCAGGGGGGTGGGAACAGTCTGTTTCCAGTGGTGCCCAGTGACAGGACAAGAGGGAACAGGCACAAACTTGACCATAGGCAGTTCCATCTCACCCTGAGGAGGGCCTTCTCTGCTGTGAGGGCGGCAGAGCAGTGGCACAGGCTGCCCAGAGAGGTGGGGGAGTCTCCCCCTCTGGAGCCATCCCAAACCCGCCTGGACGCCGTCCTGTGCCACTGCTGGAGGTGCCCCTACTCTGGCAGGGGGTGGCACTGGGGGAGCTCCAGAGGGCCCTTCCAACCCCCACCAGTCTGGGATTCTGGGATTCTGTACCTCAGAGAGACAAGAGCAAGGCAAGCCCTGGGAGAAGTTCGGATGCAGGACACATACATACATATATGTATATCTGTACTTATATGTCTATATACGTCTATAAATGCGTGGCTGGATCCCAGAATGACCTAGCAGGCAAGTTCAACAGCATACCTGCTAGCTCATTTTTTCCACGGTGAGGATCCACGTTAGCTAGCAGACCTCACTCTACCACAGCTGCTTCCAGATCTACACGCTGCTTGAACACCTAAGGTTGACCCAAAATGCTTAAATTGTATCCCACAATCCAGCAGACCTTCTCACCTGTGCAAACTTCCCAAGCTAGCTGGATTTCACCTATATCGGCCGTACATATGGGAATGAAACATGTCAAGACTTCAGTCTAACCTGGATGCGACTCTGAGCAACTTAATCCAACTTTGAAGTTTGATCCTACTTCGAAGCTGGCCCTGCTTTGAGCAAAGGCCAACCAGATGACTTCCAGAGGTACCTTCCTTAATTACTCTATGACTCTATCTTCTAAATAAGTAACCAAAGTTTTCTTTCACATAAGAAATTCTTACGTTATACACGTTTTCCTTAGGATCCCATGCCTAAGCACTGACACAGAGATGGGACACTACAGACACACCATGCTGCGCTCCAGAGTTCCCAGGCTGCTATAACTTTCCCATACAAGCTCTGAGAAGCAGATCCAGACCATCGCTGAAACCATTTTAAATTCCGCTCACTGGAAACCACGCATCTCAAGAGGCAAATCCAAGTTTCCCACTCGTGCTTCCAACCTCCTACTACCCCGCACCTAACGCTGACCAGGTCGAAGCACAAATTCAATACAATGCCTTCTTCAAACATGTTCTGCTGTTGAATGGAAAGCCAGCAGGATGGATGGAAACATTGGTACTGTTTGCGTACCCTATAAAGCTCTAAATTAACTTCATCAGCTCAGGACAAAAGATCTGGAGAAGACTGTAAGCAAACATCTGCTCAATATACATTCACCATTAAAAAGTAAACGGTATGGTTGGCTCCGTAAGGAACAGGTTGAAAATTATCAGAGTACAACACATCGCATAAACTGGTGGCGTGGCCTAGAATACTCTGTAAAGCAATGATCGCACCAGCGGAAAAACAGCTCTCAAGCGTCAAAATGGCTTGAATGATGGGAGAGAAGAGTATAAACACAGAATAACGTTCACAAGGAGAGACTGAAAAGACCGGGATACTCTACGTGTGTGACCAATGTTTATAAAATAATGAATGGTAGGAAAAAAGATGGATGGGGAGCTTCTGCTTTTCCAGGCAAACAACTCCAGAACAAGACACTCAATGCAACTGAAGGTGGGGAAACCCTGCGCCAACTGAAGGAAACGCTTTTAACGCCGTCTGTAAACATACGATGAACTGCTTTGCTATAGGAGGCCATGAAAGACAACACCAGGGGTTTCCAAGGGCCTGAATGTCAAATGGAGAACTATTATCCTCATGACAATACTTAATACTGCAAGAAGATGATGGAAGATGATAAAATTTTCAAGTCCAGGGTTAGGCCCAATCTCTAAAAGACCAAGAAAAGACTTTTAATATCCTGTTTCTACCTGTGTCAGCCTTCTCCCAAATATCTGATGCTCACCACTACGGTATTAAACGCATGGTGTGCTCGTCCCGAGTGGCAGTCAGCATCCTTACGGAAAAACAAATTTTTGGTGAAGTTTTGCTGGGCAGCGGGTAAGGATAACGGCAGAGGCATCATCCCTGACTCTTACATGGCGTATACAAGAACTAGGAACGACTCCTGCTCCTTGCAACAGGGCTGAATGGCTGATGGGACATCTAGCATGGGGCTCCCCTACATCCTCATGTCTCCAGCGCCCCGTATTCTTAGGCTGAGAAATCCTCCTGCTGCTTTCTTAGCTGTGCCTAAATATTAAAGCTGGAGCAGAAGCGTTTTTCCCTTCTACATGTCTACCTGAAATACCAAAGATACTGCTTTGCCTCAAATCACAGCAAAAAAAGAGGAGGAACAAAGAAAAAAGAAAGTTTTGTTCGAACTGCCCTACACAGCCAAATCCTGAGACTGGAAACAATTCAGATGTCTACGGTCTAACTGGGATCTTAATTTGATTTTACAGCAGTTTAATCCCTTTGAATTCAGCAGGCTTCCTTCTACAGTGGTGTAAGAAAGAAAAAAAAAAAATCACGCCATGTGTCTTTTCATAGGCAGGTGAGCTTCTGTAGTGTGATGGAAATGAGAAGATGAATGTCAGAAAGTGGGCCAAATTCTTTTCTCCGTTAAACAAGCACGAGTGAGAGTAGGATTTTTTTTTTTTCTGTAGGAACTGAAGCTGACAGCATGTCAACCAGCACTCATTCAGCTGGGAGGGCTGGGAGAGATTATTTAAAGTTGTCAGCTCCTTCCATGCCTGGCTTTTGGCAACTCTTCTTGTCCCTTTCCACTGTATACTCTTTATACATGCTGTTTTAAATTAAGAAACTGAAGTGAGGGAACTGAAAGGTAAACTTTAAGAAAATAATGCAGAAACAAATGCTTTTTCCTATTTATATATATATATATATATATTTAATTTTAAATCTGTTAGATAGGGAGCTTGCAAACGGTCACAGGTCCTATGGTGTACTCCGACGGATGCCCCGTTGTTGGTGCTCACTTCATTCTGGCTTTTACTTTGGCAAGCTCAAACACCCAGAACCAGAGAGCAATGTTTGATTCCGTAAAACGGGAACACAACAAATAATCGATAAAAAATGAGGTTTGTCTTTCCACTCATCTCAATCTTGTGGCAATAACTGTCTGGAAGGGAATGTCGAAATGCAAACGATCCTTGGGCACTGTGAGAATACTCAGGGGGAGCGATACATCATTTGGAAAGGTTTCCATAGGTGCTTACACTACGGACACTTTAAAAAAGTCTGCCAGCATGAATCTGCTCTGTCGAGTGACGCTATCGCAGCGTAACGTCTCGGTCTGTGCATTTTCACGGGGATATTCGCTGCCTCCCGCTCCCTAACCTGACCGCCCTGCTGCCGGGTCTCCCCTTTTCGCCCCTAACTTTGTCAGCGCAAGCGCTGAGGACAACTGAAGGAATAAACCGCCTGCTTAATTAGACCGCCGTCTAATTATTATGGACATCCTTCGTCATAAAACCCCAACAATGCGTCAAAGGATAAGCCAAGGTACTTCTGATGATGATGACTTCCCGATCTACGAAGCGTAATCCCCAACCAGCAGAGAAAAGCACTGTTTGCTTTTAAAGCATTTTTACTTTCAAGACTTCGCAGTTACTTTACGAACTTCAGGCAGGGAGCGTGGCAGGAAGGTTTCCGAAAGAAAAACCGCTCGTTAGTATGCCTGACTGTGCCGGGGTCCCTTCTCCAGCCTACTATATTATACATAATATTATACCGATCTCAGAAAAGTGAAAACGCAGTGGAAGTGCTGCGTAACCGTCACAATTTCCCTCTCTCCGGCTCCCTAAAAAGCAGCATCGTTCCAACTGCAGTTACGTCAACAGCACACAGATCCACGTTCGCGCTCTTCTGGGAGGCTTTGGGGATAGTTTCACTGTGAAAGGAAGACTCGGCGTACGTGGGTGTGGGTACAAAAAGACAACTCTAAGTATTCTCCGAGCTGATCCAAAGCCTATTAAAGACAACAGGGATCTTTCCTCTGGTGCTCACAGGTTCGGGATTAGGCTCTGCTTTACTCATTTTAAAGCGATTCCCCATCCAGCTCAGTTGTTACCTGTTGCAGACAGTGAGAAGGTCGGGACGGGGCTGCGCTGTTAATACTGCCCATGTATGAGGTGTAGGAGAAACACCTTCAGCGTCACCCTGCGAATCATCCCAAGGGATTTTTTTTTAATAAAAGAAGATTAGTATTTTCCTTACGGGGCTCGTGCGAACCTTTTAAACCCGTATTATTTTATATCAGTATTCGCTCTTGCGTTATTCCCATTTTTAGTGGGTCTTGGCTCTGTTTAGTAGACGGGGATCCACCCGGAGTGAGAAGATCCACGTGAACACAACCATGAGCTGAGCTTGAAGCATTGGGAAATGTCAAGGTAAACGTTTAAGGACTGTTTTCCCTTTGAAGACACCATGTATAACCGTACGATACTATTGACTCAAGAAGTAACGCTGAACACTGGAAGTGTTCAGTCAGCATTTTAAACTATTATGAGCTACCTTCTGAACCATCGCCAAGTTAATAGACAATGAAAGATAATGAGCTTGAAATTGGGTGTTAAATTGCATTTTTGGTTCTCTCCTTTTTTTTTTTTTTTCCTTCCCCCCCCACCCCCACCCCCGAAACTTAACTGTTTCCTGCATACACGACATCATCTTTGATGTGTCATTATCCAAATGTCTATTTTTAGGTCACAAAAAAAAAAAAAAAGAGTCAGGCGTGGGCTAAGCCCTCGGCTCCTCCCGCTCCACGTGTGCGGGAAAAGGGGGTAGAGAGGCAGACGACACACAGCAAGACCAAACACGTCCCGGTCCCCAGAGGGAGGAAGGTGGAGAGATGAGGTTAGGTCTGCCGGCAGCGTGAGCCTCCAAATTAAGAAGGCGATTACTTGACTTGCTCATTAACGGCGTGCCTGGACGGAGGCAGCCAGGGAACGTTAAAAAAGACCACATTTTGCACGGGTAACATGAGTATTTCTATACGTTCCCAAGCTTTTAAGGATTTTTTTCAGCTGAATTCAGGTTTTTATACAACCTGGAAGACCTTTGGCGGGCAGGGGTAACGCGCATCCAACCTGCCCACGGCACAGCCGGCGCTGTAAAAGTCGGAAAACGCTCCAAGTCTACACGTCAGCGTGCAGAAAACAGCAGTTCTTTTCCTAAAAGCAGTATCGTGTAATAATAGCTCTTCACTGGAATGATTTAAAATTCAGCGCTTCATCTACAATCGCGTAATTAATTAAAAAAAAAAGAAAAAAATAAGAAAAAATTGCGACTCCTAGCAGTATAAATACACCCCTTAAAAAAGTGGAAGTCAGTTCAGCATTGAACACTCGATCCAAACTCGAAGGGAGGGTCTGCCACTGAAACTGGGCTTTCTCTACAGAAATAACGGCAAAGAATAGGACGTGATAAATAGCAGTGAATTATGCTTCCGATAAACTTTTTCTATGTTCGACATACCTTAAAAAGCAAAGGGTTAAAATAATCATTACTGCAAAACCAATTCAAATAATTCCAAAAGGCAGAGAAATCTTACCTGATACCTGTCATCTGCATTTTTTTAAGGACCGAAGATTAAATTAGGATAGGAAGGTAGGCTTATCCTCATTAGTATAATTGTAGGATCTTTCTTTTATTTTCCTTTTAAACTAATGAGTTGCATTAATCCAGGTTCATTTTTATAAGCCTCTTGGGTCCAAATGTAAAGGACAGTCATTTTAGAAAACAATAAATTAAAAAAAAGCATGTAGCATGCATTAAGTGCACGTATTTCATAAGACCTAGGTTAATACAACTGGCATCCAGTTTAATTAATCCTTGTTAGTGTAACGACTAATATCCCTCCCTAGCATGTTTCCTTTAAACATTAGTATGTTAATTAAATGTTGTTTTTTTAAGGGTTTTTTTCCTTTGTACTTCAATATGGCATTATATCATGTAAAACTATTCCGAACAACTACCTTATAGAGATGTTTCCTTACAATATCTGGTCTCTTGCAGAAATTCTGAAGCCTTTTAAAAAGCTGTTCAGGTGTAGAATACAGATATTCAGCTGCAGGAAAAACAGATACATTTTTAATGAAACAAAAACCTCAAAGCACACACTCGATATTAGTCACTTTACTAATTAAAAATGCATATTGCTCTGTGCCGCCTCGTGTTTTACATTATTTAAGCATGATTTTATAAGGTTACCTCAGCTCACAAGGATGTTTAATGCTAAATAAGACTGTGTAGTTGTGCTGTTTAGACATCTCCTTTGGGTGATTAAAATACATTATTCTAATGTAACACAATGCATATGTGATACATTTAGTGATGAGATTTTTCAAAGAACTGGTACTACATTAGTGTGTATCCTGTACCGCAGTTGCATACTATTAAGTATTAAATTGTTTAAATAATTTGGTGTGATTTTCAGGCCTCGTTTTTTTTTTTTTCTCCTTTTTTTTTTTTCTGTGTATCAGAAAAAAATCTGCAAACCATTGCAGCATCACTGACCTTTTAACAAAAATCTATCATTATGGGTTGTGTATGCTAACAATGAAGAATGCTATTTCAAAACTTGCTTTTGTGTTATCTTAAAAGAACAGATGGCAAATATAAACTTCGTCTAATGTATTAAAACACATAAAATTTTCCTTAACACTAACATGTCGGCTTGCCAAATAAACAATTGCTTTTGCTCAAGTTTATTCTCGGAACTTTGTACTTTAGCACGAAGCACGTTATTACGTTTCAGCAACAAGAATGTGCAGCAAAAGCAGCTACCTGGAAATATCTCGGGGTACACCAAGGCTTTGGGACACAGCGGATAACAGCCGCAATGCACAGCTTCCACCCTGAAGAAATAATAAATACACAAAAACAGACGTTAGCGAGCCAAAAAAACTTATTTTGCTGGAAGAACGTTGAGGTTGACTACGTATAGCAAGAGCGAAACATTTTTTTTTTTTTCTTCGGCTGCATAATCCTCCTAAATGCCAAAGTTGCTCTTTTTCAAGAAAATTTTATTGATCATATGAATTACATAGAACAGAACAGCGAGCATATGTTTTGTTCGCTGAATAAATCAAAGCGCAGCTCTGCATTTTTTTGTTTTTTAAATACTGTTTAACACATTTTATAATCAGCAGACAGACACATGTAACAACATGGTGAAGTATGGACGGCTTTTCTTAATAACGCTGCGGAAAAAACGAGGGCATCCGCGCGCGCCTTTGGCTATCCGGATCCGTACGGATGCGCTCAATCGGCATTACCTGGCAGAACAGATATTCTCCTTCGGCTTTAAGACTCCAAAGGTTACAGTTAAATATAGCCTAGGAACAACTTGCAGCATGCTTCAGGCTGGGATATTTTAGCTTATGCACACTCTTCAGATAATTTCCTTTATTTTTCAGGACATAAAGGGTTGCATTTCTTAATAACTACTGAGGAGATTCCTTTGCCAAAGTGTGCGATGCTTTGTACTTGGGGTTTTCTTTTTTCAAGGAACAATTTACATATCTCCTGTAACATCAAACCCAAATATTTTATAATTGCGACACAGTGGCGCAAAGTTTCCCAGTAGCGAATCTGCAGAAAAGCTCTCCTCTTCGTGTTTGCGTTTTAACAACTGAATGGATTAAGGCAGCAAGTTTTCACTTTTTGGGTTGTGTTTTTTTTTCTTTTTGCATAATGACCATTGATCTGACATAACGTCCCTCCAAAGATACAACTGTAATTTCTGTTGGCCAGAAATTACACAGTGAAATTCAAAACACTTCTTAAAATATGTTTATTTTATGAGAGTCTTTGAATTTCCTCCAACATGTTGACCATACGAGAGCTTTATTTTTAACTTCAGTTTCCCTCAGTCCCCAGAAAAAAATATCTGAAATCCTGTCAACGTTCACCTTTTCTATTTTCAGTGACAATCCAAAGGGCTTTCACTCCCTTCATGTGCATATCGGGTTTGGTACGTTATTACAGGCACCCAGAAGGAACTGTGTTTCCTTTAGATCTACTCATTTTTAAACAGGGGGAAAAAAAAAATAAAATAAAGAATAACATATTCAGCTTTCATGCTAGAAAACTATGCATATCCACAAACCCCAAAGATACACATTTCTCTGCACATGCTTTTGCTAAGCAATGATTGCTAGGTTTTTTTTCATAAACTTTTAAAATTTGTAATTTATGGTGTTTTTTTTAAATAACATATGCACTTCAGATTGCATTTTAAACATTAACAACAATTTCAAAGTGTACATCGTCTAGCACTATATTTTTTACCAAAGGGAAATGTTTCTGATGTGTGATTTAATTGATGATTTCAGTTCTTAAATATTGTGTCATATGTCAAAGCAAATAGATTTTTAAAGTTTTCTTTAATCTAGGAGGAAAAAAAAAAAAAAAAGAGTGAAACTGTGGACATTTCAGTAATAGCTCAGATCACTAAGTTATGTTAAAATATTTGCTTTTTAATCATATCGTCTGCATGGGGAAAAAAAAAAAAAGGAGAACAGCTCCCTAAAACAAAACTGCAGGCCAAGATGCAATCTGAGTCATCATCTGAGTATGCGATTTCCCCTTACAAAAAACCTCTATCGGGATCATGAATTAGTAAAATCCGACTTTAATGCCTCCGCAATTTGCCGGCTACAAGTTAAAATTTGGCATTCTTGCATTTGCAAACGATCTTATTTGCATACTCGTTTTCTACCTTTCCGCACCGAAGCGGACGGGCATTTTCTGACCGGTCCCTCCCGCGGCCCCATGTCCTGCTGCAGACCCGACACCCTGCAGCCGCCCAGCCCTACAGCCCCAACGGGACCCCGCAAAGCATCCCTGGCACGGACGCGGGCTCCAGCCCGCAGACGGACCCGGGAGCTGCGCGACTTCCACCCGTTTCTGCCCTTTTGCCGGAAAAGTATCATATCATAACAAAAATACAATTATTTTCATTTCAATCCTTAAGCGCTGGTAGTTAAATAATAAATAGAGTTCCGATTGATCTATTGTTAAAATGGCTAGTAAATGACCTTTTTATTCCAATTAACAAATCATCTGCTAAATCTATGAATCTTAATATTCAGATCTATTCACTTCAATTCATACAATTTATCTGCAAATAGTTGTTGGGCTTTTGATTCTAAATATAATTAGCTGATAATTTTGCTTGGCTGAATTACTTTTCTGGAGGGCCTGCTAAGGCTCTCAGTCGCATTATCTAGCAATAATGAATCTGATAGGTGAAATTTTTTACTGTAATGAGGATGAGACACAGTTGTGACACCTGAGTCTAGTAATAACAGAAGACTGCTAATTATCGACAGCACTTTTTTGTGTGATGCACAGAGAAAAAAAAAATCCCTCATTATTAAAAAATAAAAAGTTACAATTATAAGTGACACCGGAGGAGAGTAAATAAAATGGAGTGATTAAAACATTGCTGCTTTAAGGGTGTTTTTAATTAAGTGGAAATGCTAATGTTGTCATACTTAGCAGATGGGATTAAAATTAGTTATTGTAAGTAACTCATATTTTATGTTATGGTTTCCACAGCATGTCTACAAGATCTAAGAAAGTGATACATTCCATAAGACATTTAAAAAATGAAATTCTCATAGTCTTAACAGCTCATAATAATGAACATCATGAATAAACTATTGAAAAAAAATCCTGCCAAGGATTTTACCATAGTGACTTAACTCGCATGGAATGTAACCATAATGTACTGGGCTGCTGGAATCGCACTGCCGGTCTGCCTTTGTCTTTTGCTGATTGTTGCACTTCTTATTTCCTTCACGCTCAACGATAGCAGAAGTTTGGTGTTTGGGCAGGCATCCAACGTCAAGTGTGGTGTCAAGAAGGTACAGCTTCGGCGCAAGGGAAGATGATGACCACCCACCAAGGTGATGCTCTAACCGAAAGCACAGGATGCATCGTGTAACTGCAGATAAAAACCTAATTGCACACTTTCTCCTACTTTATTTGTGTAAAATTTTCCATCTGCTACATCTAAAGATGTCTAAACTGTTAGTATCAAACCTGCATTCAGCTGCCAGCTGTGCACATTAAGGATTGCAAAACACTAAGTAAATGAGGCAGCATAAAACCGAGTAGTACTGGTCCATCTGCCCAGTACTAGTAGGGACCCCCATACCTGGTCCTTTTAAAGCACCACACTGCTGCTCAAATTGATAAGGGAAATACTTAATAACACGCTTTAAGAGCCTTGGTTTAGAAAGCTCAATTTGCATTTGCTATCATGACTTCTAAGTATCGGAATCTGCCTACTACTAGTACAAGTTAATGCTTTTCATCTCTCTTTCAAATGCTCTTTGAAGAACTTTTAATGAATGAAAATTAACATCTATAATTTATAGTATTTGCTGTCAAATTTCTAAACAATTCATGGCAACATTTTGGAGATAAGTTTTAAATAGTATTTTTGAAAATCATTTCTGCTGTACATACTTTACCATTTGTTTGGGGACCCACCGTTTTTATTAGTAAAATTACTAATGATTACAATACTTAGCATTTATATAGCGTTCTACATCTTCAAAGTGCAGCACAGCCGTTAATTAAATGATTTTGTCTTTGCTAATTCATGTTACGAATGAAAAAAAAAAAAAGTGCAAGAATCAGGAGGTAATAAGGACGTTGCGTATTTTCACTGTCTGGGCTCATATACGTATTTATTTTTGGCTAAATGCAACCCAGTAATATGCAATCGGAGAGATTTTAATCCACTTTAATCAGCAGCTATGTACTTCTGTGTGCACCGACTCTACTAAATAATGTCAAGGAAAAAAAATTACACAATGGTATTGATGTTTGCGTACGTGTAACACTAATATTTATCACATAATAGCTGGTTTGGGTTTTTTTCTTTTAAGGACAACTCTACTGATGTGGATTATTTGCTGATGGCCAGGTAATGTCTGGGGTGGTCTCAAACATCACCCAAAGCCGTGAGGATGGTTTAAAACAACCCAGAAATCTTCAGACCGTCTGAACTCACTCACAGGGAAAATTGAGTTACATTAAGAGCCCTCCGACAACTAAACGGAGAGTGTGAAACCCACATTTTACCGCTGTCGTGTCAGAATAAAATGAATTCCCTGGAAATCCTTGCGCTGTAATCAAAAAGTAAAGAGGTGATAAGAGAAGCACGGCATGTAAATTGTACGTTATTTCTTTATTATGCTAAGTCACCTTTATAAAAAAAAAAACAACCAAACAAAACTCCTTAAAAAAGAAAAAGAAAAAAAAAAGGAAAGATTAGCACCTTCTTCTACCAGCTCCCGAACAGAAAGGACTTACATTGCCACGCCAAAGAATTCGTGTTTAGCCGTCGAGATGACAACATCGGCCATGCACAGAGCCTGGAAATAGTCATCTTTGCTGGGCAAGTAGCCCCAGTGCAAGACAGAAGATCCCAATGCTTGTTTGGCCTCCGAAAAGATATCTTTTAAAAAAGGAGAAAGAGAAAGTCATCGATTTAATATGGTGTAAAATGATATAAGATGTCAGCAGTGTCTCATCTGAAGTTCAGGTTAATTAGCTGCTGCTTATTTTAACGAACTTCTTGGAGTTGTTTGCTTTTATAATCAAGGCACAGAAGCAGAACCAAATGTTAAGGTGCCAAAAAAAGCTGACAAAAGCAAAGGCCCGCCTCGCCACCCTCCCCCTAAATGAAAAGCCAACTGTCTGCTTCATAAAACTCGCTTAGCAGACACTGAAACAAAATGGACTGTAAAGTTCGTTAGATGAAAATATTAAAAAAGAATTAAGCTAATGGAGATAAAATTAAAAGAAATGAGGCAACAAACACATCACACCAAAAATG